TGGTAAAGTGCTGGCCACAGAACCTTAAGATCGTGGGTTCGACTCCTGGCGAAGGGGGGCGGGGTCATGGTGCGCACTACTGGAGAGTCCCATAGTGAGATGAAAGAGCTGTCTAGTGCTTCCAGGTTACTAATATTCCTTCAACTGATTTCAGTCCATGATGAATACCAACTTGAAAAAACATCTCAAAATTGCCCTTGAAACATGTTTTCTCTTACTGTCTTTTGTCTGCACATTTTCCATTGTCTCATAACCATACTGACTAGTTATCAATTTTCATTGTTCAAGCATTTCACCCCGTTGATGAAGTGCATGCAATTCTAGGCTTTGTACAAAGTTCTTTTTCCTTCATATTGCTTATAATTATGCTATAAAATTTATTCATTCGTCTTTTCCTAAGAACTTGGTTGGAATGTCTACTTGTCACAAGATGAAGTTGAGGATAATTATCTTTCCAACAGCTTAATTTCAGCTGTAGATTGGCAAGTATATAACGAAAATGACAGAATGTTCAAGACGAGTCTCCGGTCAAAGGTCAAACTTAATCGATAGGTGTATATAGGGAATGAAATGATATTCCGTAACACAAGATATGATCTCAATAGTTTTTATACAATTCAGTGAACAGTAGGATTTGGTATCTGGTAAAAGGAAATAAATAAAAGTATCATGACATATAAGTAAGTTATATACAAATAGAGTCGCAGAGTACTTGACTAAGGCCATGGTAAAAAGTGTTTGCACACGTTTCTTTTGTATACACAATTGAGGTTTGAAACTATGAATTGCCAAAGCTTCGACTATCGATGTGCGTTTAATCATCACCTTTTGGACGATTTGGTCGATTTTTGTAGAGAATTTTGAATGAGGTTTTTAGAGGAGTTAGATGTCCAGAGTCTACAGGATGTTCAACACTGGAACTGGAGATGGTTTGGTGCTCTCCCTTCGGCAACCAGGTTGGGCAGTGTTTTTGAGCGCGTTTTTCAAGCGAGGGGGTAATATAGTCAACTCACTCAAATCCACAGGCATCTCAAAAATACATTACTGTATAGTGCTCACTAATGACTTTCTTCCAGATGGATATCACGAACTTCTAATGAGAAACCGTGACCTATGGGACCAACCATTCGGAAGGGAAGAGGATGCCAACTAAAGACCTAGGGTGACAGTCGAGCTATATCGTGAGTTGACAGAAGTTGGAAACTGTTGACCACTGGAAGCCAATCCAGTGGCTGGATGGTTAACGTTATCCTAGCTGGGTCGTGGGTACGTACTGCTGAGGAGTCCTATACTGGGACGAAACAGATTCTCAGTGCTCCCAGGTTTTCAACGGTTCCCCAACTGATGCTGGCCTGTGATAAATACTACTTCAAAATTAAAATCCCCATTCATCCCTCTCTCTCCGTATATATATATATATATATATATATATATATATATATATATATATATGTTAGCATTTTCCTTTTGTTCGTCCCATAAATGGCTTATAATGTGTGGGACAGGTAACTAGCTACCGGTTACTTCATCAGATGTGGATGGGATCATTCATGTTTTCAAGTTGGTACTAAAAAGGAAAAAAGTTCATGGGGAGATTGACGGGATTTATTTTGTACTTTGTACTCTGTTCAACATATTTAAATCATCAGACTACCATTTCAAGGAGATGAATTGAGTTTATAAATTGAAGTACCGGCTAAATGCATGGTTCGCACTAACGATTTCTTGTTGCAAAGTTAACAGTTGTTTATAACTCGAAGATGATACTCAGAGAAACTAATTTGGATATGAGTCCTCATGTTACCGTAAATTATATCTATTTATTTGCATCGGATAAACGGAGAGGGTTCTGTCTAACAGAATCTGTGAACATGTGCAAAAAACCTTATTATAGGGAGGTGCACGGGTACCTAACAGTGCCTTGCTAAACACAGGTCATGCTTTCTAGGTAAGCAACAGACAAAGTAATAATGGATTGCTAAGTTATACAGAAGCAACTGCAGTCTGTCGACTGAAACCAAACTTGTATACAAGAGAATTTCATGGTTCACTTTGCATTGTCTTGACGCACTGGTCTTTCCTTACGACTTTATTCGTGGGTGTTATTCTTTCATTTCATTGTCTTACATATTATTTATACTGGGTGATGATTGGAGGTGAAATGAAAATTTGTACTGCGACCGGATTTGAATCAGGTTTCCGTCCCGATGCCCACCCATTATAAATACTAGTCTACTAAACCATATTGCATATAGAATTGTATTTGTGTAAATCACAGCGGGTTTGAAATCAAATACTTCCGACGTTTTCCTGTAGAAGCTCGGACCAGACTTCCATGTGAAACGTTGGAAGTATTTGATTTCAAACCCGCTGTGATTTACACAAATACAACCCTATATCTGATGTCAACCTTTTACTCAGCGCCCAATATTTGCCATACTATACGATCAAATCTTGATCATAGTTTATATAAACCTTATTATTCTCAAACATTATTCATACTTCGATCATGTTTGACTTCATAATTCATAATATTTTAATCATGGTTTTTAACGCATCCTTTTCTATTCCTCTACTATCAATTCATAAACTTTGCACATCATCTTTGTTCTCCCTACCACCTTGACCTGTAATCACACCTACTCCACTATTACGTTGTATCACTATTATTTTTCGTAAGTGCTTATTGATTAATTTTATGGTTTTAAAAAACTATTTGACTTATCCCCTTTATTGATTGATTAGGTCGTGAACTTTGTCATTTTTCTTTGTTCCCATATAAATATATGTATTGATGTCTAGATATGAAAGATGTTTTTTGGTGTTTTGGGGATCTTATTACTGAACTGTATCAACTGATTTATACTGAATTCATACTCACAGTTTAATGCATATATGGAAGCACACGAAATGAATTCGATTCATCCTACAATGTTTATTGTTCTTGTTTTGCTGAACTTTTCAAAAGGAAAAACTAATTGCACGAAAAACAAAGTTCATGTTTCTTCATCGTTGAGGTCAATATTGGGTTTTCGCAGTCAGTTATTATTTTGTTATTTTTAGTTTCGTGTCATCGAAGTATAACGAAATCATGAAAATTTACTTGGTTGTGGCTAGCAGAGGAATCTAAGACTCACGTTTCGTCCTATTTGGGACTCGTCATCATCACATCACCCTAGTGAGTGATGTTATTCCCACTGAGACTCGAATCTCATACCCATCGCTTCAAACACGAAAGCGTTATCCACTAGACCACAGTGGCACGATAGCCACCTCTTGTACAACGAGTATTAGTTAGTTGTTACTATCTATGGATATGCTTTCAACTCTCCGTTGTTTTACTGGATCGAATTGTTCGACCTTCAATAAATAGTGATGATGAAGTCACTTGTTGAAGGTTTCATATGACACTATTCGAAATCGATTACACATCCTCAATCTTAACTCCTGTTTTTGCTTCATTATCTTCCTTTTATATCTGGTTACTGTAAACATCATTAGGCAATTGAAGCATTGCCTGCATCCGAATTGATGCCATTTAAGCTTAATGCAACACTCTAGATTAAAAATATCACAATAAATGAAGAGAATAATCAAAAGTTACTCTCAGGATGACTTATCTCACACACTGTTTGAACGGAATAGTGACCACTAACTTCAGTTACACCACATAAAGCTTACATGGTAACATGCTGAATACCAGCAGTGCAATAAAAGTGACTAACGAATTTAACTTAAAAGTTTCTATGTCTCTTCAAATTCAGTTGAAATCAATCAGTTGCAAATCTTATATGTTGATGCATTATACTCGAGTCTTCTCAAATATTGCATGAAATGTATGCTTTTTGTGTAATTGGTTAGCATATTCACGAATACTTGTTTGATCTTGATATGGTTTTAGTTTCGAAAAGATTCTTTATACACTCAAACTAGTGGGAAAAATAGTAATGTACAGATTTCACATATGTAGCGTGCTAAAAATATATTCAATAATACATTTTCAAGTTAGTATTCATCGTAGACTGACATTAGTTGGAGGAATACTAACTTGAAAATATTTCTAAATCCCCGAAATCCCCTTCGAAATACATTTGTTTTCAAATATTCATCTCATTAATGTCTTAGAAGGGTTTTTAAGCTGTTTCGTAGACATTATAAAATAAAGGTTTAATTTGATATCAGCGTGTTTTAAAAATTTAAACAAGATTTATCGCGTGAAACCCATGGTGATTGAAGTGAAATAAAAATTTTGTGAGCAGTAGAACCTCGTAAATCAGTTGATAGAGCATTGGATCAGAAACCCGATGGTCGCTGGTTCAAATCCGTCCGCGGTCTAAATTTTCATTTCATCTTCAATCATCACTCAGTATAAATTTATCTGAATGCTTAGCTGCGTTAAGCTACACCGTCTTCAAGACAATATTCGACTGAAGAAACTGTGATTTTCAAATGAAAAGGTTCAAAAAAGGCTTTTAGTTTTCTAAACACACGAGAGATTATACTAAAATCTACTTTTGTAATACATCTCATTGTTGACAATTTGTTGAAATAACGTACAGTGTAATTTGTAGTCCCAGTACCTCTAGAAATTTTCATAAATATATAACATGAACTTACTCTCACTTTACGCAGCTAATCACTTTTCAATTCTTAAAGTCTTAGTTTCTGAGACTCACTTAGCTTAGACATTTCCCCTGATATTGAAATTCATATCAACCTTCTGATGTCATGGATGGTTGTGTTGATTGACCGAGGTCTCCTTTCAATTTTTATTTCCCAACCTAATATATCAACATGCATACTAGTCTATCATCATCAGAAAACAAAATACGTTATGGTTGTTTAATTTTGTAAACAGTAATGTTGGGAATCTGCACAAAAATTGTCACTGATTCAAACAAAAAAAGGAACAAGAAATTCCAGCATATGTATATATAATATTCATGATAACATTTTTGTTACCGCAGGTTATAGTTTGCTTTTTTCTTTTTTGTGTTTAGATCAGTCTACAGTATGGTCTCAAGATGTATTATCTGTAAAGATGCGAACACTTTCTGGTCAATCACCTTGTGATACAGACTTAGTTAACACCCCCAAGTCCGAAGGGATTACCACAGAATGCGGTACTTCATCGTTTGGATCGTTTGTCACTTCTAATCAAGACACAGCAATTAATTCAACTCATTCTATAACATCCACATCTACAACAATGCATAGTTTATCTTCGCCTGTATCTGTTTCTACTGGAAGGTATAATCATTTGCCCAATGGTAGTGGTACTATGTCGAACAGTAATGAATCAGTCAGAAATTTAGAAACTGAACCGACAACAGTCGTTATACAATCTCAGAATAGTAACAATTCAATGGTTAGTGAATCTGCCAAATTGTTGAATACCACCACTACTACATGTTGTAATACTACTCCTAATACTAATACTAGTTTTACTGCTACACCTGCTAACAATACTGATATTAATAATAATTTTCCTATCAGCACTGTTACCAATCAACTTCCACCTTCATCCCCAGCTATAACTACTACACCTGGTGTTCCAATAAATGAATCTATAGTCCCATGGAATTCCAATATGGCATCATCTCCATCGTTCCAGCGTAAGTTAAATAATGTTTGTTATTCACTGTGGTATAATAGATATGCAGTTTACAATGCAGATTATGTTGTATGAGTGGATGGTAGATGCGTATGTAATACTGAACTATACTGCTGGGTACTATACACCTCATAATCATATTAAAATGCCTGACAATTTTGCTATATGGCATTTTGTTATTGTTCCCTTGCATCATCATCACCATCGATTGAGAGGCAGAACGTGAAAAAAGTGGCCAAGAGATTCTCAGGTGAAAAAAACATCATGAAAAGGAATCAAATTGAACCTATTTAGCAGTAGTCGCTTCCATAAGTTTTTAATGTAGATTCTTGAAGTAGCTTCTTTTTCTATTGGTCGATGTATCGTCGTCTATTAATCTTGAGATAAACATTCAACGTCGATGAAATATATTTTTAAAATCCTGATGAGATAGAATAGTAGATTTCTGAAGTTTCGCGACCGTATACAAGTCTCTTCTTCAGAGAATAAAATTTGCACAAGTTATCGCATGTTTAAATAGTAAATGGTGATAAATCAGATCACATTGTTTATACTTTCACAAGATCACGAAACATCAGAAATTTTTTTTTCGACCTCATTAAGATCTTATAAATATATTTCATTTATAATTCATTTGTCCAATGCTCAACGTATTCAACTTCATTACGTCAAATTTTGATCCTGAAATTTGTAAACAATTTAATTATCAAAATAATATTAGTATGATTAAATATAAGTTTGGCTGTTCTCAGTTGCATTTAGCTTTTGACCTGTCTATTTACAATTGAACCATCGATATAGTCTCATTAGGTAAGGAACATTTTTTTTAAAAAAAAGCCATTTTAGTATCGAACAAAATTTTTTTTCTGACGAATTCAGAAGTTTTACAATTATGATTATAGTCACAACAAAATATATATCCATCAGTAGCTAATGGATCAATACAAAAACATCAGAAACGATCAATAAAGTCCCATGGTGATAACGGCTGGAAGGTGAAGCCAAGGTCATAAAAAGATTGCTCATATGATTACAACAAATAAAGAGGTAATGAATAGAGAAATAAATAAAACGTCTTATGGAGATTATGACTAAGGTAAAATTAGAGATTGAACACGGAGTTGAGGCATGGACAGCCGGTTTGCAAAAGCTGCTGTTGTATTGTCGTGGTCAATACACACCACACTCCGAAATGCTTAATTTGAATCTAGAAATTCCTTCGGAAAAGATTCTTGTGGAGCAGAGTGGCCACCGTTAACCAACTGTTCAATAATCGAGCTGTTAATGGCTTTGTACTCTTTTAGACGGTCATGCAGGATATTGTTCGGAGATGTTTTGGATAAAACATGCTGTATGCAGCCTATTTAACGAGCCCCACAAGAGCAGCCTAATTGGTTAACATATATAGAAGTGGCTCAATCTCGAATCAGTTATTGACTGGAGGAAATAACCCGAAGTTGAGTGGAAAAGAAGACCTCCTTCAGCGCTTCGGACAATCGATTCTTGAGTATTTCTGCCAATTTATCTCCCTTGGATCCAATACTCATAAAATGTGTCTTCTTTGGAACCATAGAGGTTCCTTCATCGAAATGTTTAGGTTTGGTGTTCCTCTCAATGAATCTTGAAGGATAACTTTTCTCAGTGAACACTTTTCGAAGTAGTTCCAGCTCTCTCATTTGCTTTATCACCCGTACAAATTATTTTCTTTCTTTCTTCTGCCAACTTGCGTCACCTGTAACGCCGGTGAGATATGTGACTATCTATCAAAAATCGAGAATACTGCACTACAGTCCCCTGTGTTCTGTTAAATGGCTGTGAGACATGGCCGTTGAAAATAGAAGATACGAAACAGTAGCAATCTTTTCATCACAGATGTCTTCGTAGCATTACTTGCGTTTGGTGGAATCACCGTGTAAACAGCGATGAGGTCAGGCGAAGGATAATAAGCAAGACAGACATATCGACCAGGGCGGTTTTCGACTTCAGTCGACTTAGATGGCTTAGACATTCACTGTTTATGCCGAGCCACCATCTACCTCAGCGTGCTACGCTTTCATAATTGAACTGAAAGTGCTTTCGGCTGTTAGTAGTATCCATAGTGACACAAACTCATTTCTAAGCAAAATACGGAGATGAAAGGTGTCAAAGTTTAGAGAAGAAAAAAACCTCTGCTAGACATAGGTCTTGCATTTATCCAATTCGTCTTCCTTGGGAGCAGTGACTAATTTATTGTAGACTTATTTTTCAAGCACTGGAATTATTTATCGACACTGTCTTTTCGCTTGCAGGATGTTTTAAAACTTACTAGGCGCTATGGTGAATGCAAGATAAGGGACTTTTGTCTTTCATTATTAACGACTGGTGAATTTCCTATCAATACAATGATTGTATCTGCTGCACTGATACTTTTTCAATTTTATCAATATCTCTAACAAGCTGTTTATGCGACTACCTTATAACTGAAAGGCATTTTCCTTTGCCATTAATACTTTTAAGCTCACGCTTGATATCCAATTTAATTACGCTTGTTTACTCTTCTTGATGTTCACCATTTAATGCGGACCAACCTCACGAATAAGGGTAACCATCTTTCTCTATAGAGAACAACTAAACCAGTGTGTGTATATATGTGTGTATGACTTGATTGACCGTTTCAGGAACCTTGTTATTATGAATGTCTTTTCATTGCATCAGTAGAACTGATTTACAGTGTAATTTGTCAACAATAGTAAGCTTGTTATGCAACGTTCGGTAATTGTTCAGCTCTGCCTCTGTAGCGCAGTGACAGTATCACCCACTGAAACTTATCTCCAATCTTTTGTTTAAACAGATCTTTGAACTTCAAGTTTTATTGGTTGATTCATCAAACTGTGAACTAAAATTCTGTTTTACAATGTAAATTTAAATGTTTGCATATTGTAAAAGACAAATATTTCAATGCTGCTTGTCAGAATCATATTTAAACGTCATTTACCTGCGTCATTAATATTCAGGCGGTATGTATTCAACACTCAAGGCGAATTCCCACCTATGGAGCCTCCAGTATATATATATATATATATATATATATATATATATATATATATATATATGAATTAATAGATTAAACGAATGTCTGAAAAGTAAATGAATTAACAATTAAAACTATTTGTTAGCCAGTTTCATGAAATCATGCTTTCCTTCTATTTTGTAATCCTCTATCGATTGATATATGTATGTCATATGATCACTTTCATAATCTTGTTAAGTAAGTATTCCTTCAATAAGTTCACTAAACTATGTAAATAGGTTCTGTTGAGTAAAAGTACATCAAATTTGTGTGTGTATATATTCTATGCGTTAATTCATAATTCTTGTAAGTATAAGCGATTACATACATTCCTTTCTTACACAATTTGATCAATTACATGACGAATAATTTACCAGTTACCAAACTAACACAAATATATATACTAGATGATTATTGAAGGTGAAGTGAAAATCTTGGCCGCGGTAAGATTCGAACCAGCGACGTCTGGGTTATCAATCTAGTACTCTACTAATTGAGCTACGAGACTTGGCTGCTGACCAGTTTTTAGTTTCATTTCAATCACCAAGCGTTTTGCTCGACTACCATATGAATTCGTGATGCGTTACTATCCCTGAATTATATTCAATCGGCAAAGCACCAGATCAGTAGTTAGCAGGTCGTAAGTTCGAATCCTGCCACAGCTCATATTTTCATCTCACCTTCAATCATCACTCATTATCAATACAAACCTGCCAAACCATGATTATCTCAAATGGACGCTGAGTAATCGCGACACTACTCGATTTTCCAGGCTGTAGTATATATACTTTGGTGCAGTGGCTAGTAGTTATTAGCTACTCCGTATTATTCTCATGTCGTTGACAAGCATAGTTTAGTGATAATTTTCCTTTTATTCAGAGACAAAATATGGGTTTCGTTTAGGTGCTTCTGCTACGTTTTAGGCTTTGTCACAAAGTAACAAGAAGTTTGAATTTATGAAATAGTCCTATCCTTTGGTTTAAAACACTGGATATTTGAATTCTTGGCACCTAAACTTGTACTATTGAGGATATTAGTGTTTTTTTCGTGTTCAAATACAGTCGATAACAGATACAGCTGTTCAGTCTGTAGAGAATTTCGTACGCCCCATAAAGGGATAGACTAGTGTAGATTGATTACGTAACACCACCTACTTATTCAATGTATATTTCCAATGAAAAACAATTGTATTTACTTATTTCCAGGTGATCGTAAGTTACCTCCAACCAGTGATGCGCTATCAATGTCGACACAACCACCTTCTCAAGTACAATCGAACCAAAAACGAACTAACAGTGCAGTGATTGATGAAGCTGTCACTTTACCCAACTATCGATCATATGCATCATCTCAACAAGTTCCACAGAATCAAGTTTCTGCAAATTTTGCTTCTAAGCAAATGTGTGCTTTTGATTCTCATGTTGCAAAAGGTTCACCAAACGAAAGTATGGATCCAGCTAACACGAAACTGTCTAGTGCATCACAATTTCGGCATCTGTGTATGGGACAACAAGATATAAGTCCATGTAGTGGGGCGGAATATCAGCTTCCTTTAGGTTCTAATTCGAAACAATGTATTGGTCCTGCTACTGCCTTAGTATCGCCTATGGTCGGTATTCCAGATGGTGGTATGCCTTTAACTCAAGAGCAATGGGAAAATCGTAAAAGTAAAATTGCTCAATTAGAAAAAATTCATTCTACATTAAGTAAGAGTAAAAGTGCTTCTACTCCAGGTGCTATGGCTGCAGCAACAGCTGGTGCTGTACTACAACAACGCTTAATGCGTAATTCAGTTTCAATGCAGCAGCAACAGCAACAACAACAATCAACGGCATTAAATAACCCAGCACTTCAACCACCATCAGGTTAGTTTATATTGTTGATATTCAAAAAAATCTGGATTATTTTTAAGTTATTTGAAACCGATGAAACATAGTTTCGATTCTCTCACTCGGATATATGAAAAAGACACCTTCATTGTTGCGTAAAACAAACCCAATTGTCATATTGTGTAATTACTATGGTAAAACACAATGTGATTGTATATCTTTAACTAGAAAAAGTCAGGTCTTACTGAAATGTTGTAAGCCTAACCTTTGAAAGATAAATTGACCTCTCAACTACTTGTAAAGTGATGCAAATCAACCTGTTTTTCTGATTTTGGTTATATGGAGAGTTATCTCACCTACCCCGACTCACACTAGTATCTATACAACAATCAATATACACTACGTTTTAGACTTATTTTAACTATCCGCCATTAAAATTGAGTACAAGGATGCCAGTTGGAAGAAAGTAATTAGTGTAAAACTCACACTATACTTACAGATATTGACAAGTTAAATATAATTTCAGTAACCTATTGGTCATTGCATAAAAAAGATGATATTATTTACATATTGAGTATAAAGTCATCTCTCTTTGGATAACTTTTTGTATCTGATTTTTAAGTTTCACTTCAACCTCCTTCGAGTATTTCATAAATCGCAAAATTGAAGAGGGATAGTGAAATTTCGTTTGTTTGTAAGAACAGTAGAACTGACGATTTGTGCATAGTTTGCCTAAGATTTTTCTGTGCTCAGCCCTCAATATATTAATAAAATCTAGAATATCCTGTTTAAGAAAATATTTTGATAAGTGCTACAGTGTGTTTTGTAATCGTTTTATAGGTTGTAGACCGCATTCACTATAGAAGCAGCTGAATCACTAAGGTTGCTACAGGTAGTGACAATGGGGATGGTTGAAAATATTTAGACAAGGAGAATTTTTGAAATATGATCGACTGTCACCAGTCTTCATAATTACTTGATCAAGCTATCATCAGTTTAAGTTCTTCGCTGTTGTATGCTAGTGAGAAAGTTGTGTCCATATGCCATCTAGTTCCGAACTTAAAACTTATTTTCCCGATTTCGACTGTAAAAGTAAATTCTTATGTTTATCTGTTTACTGCCAGTCATATCATGATTTTAATTCTCTTACTTTTCCACTGGTTGACTTGACTTCGATGTACTGGTGTGAAGTGTGGTAAGTTTGACCAATACAAAATCACTCGATGTTGTCATATTTTGGTTTTATGGGTTCGCAGTTAACTTTAGTGTTCTTTACAAATGCTTAACCGATTCTTATTTCGAAATCTCTTCACCATTCAGCTGGTAATAATACGTTACCATATCCTGAATCTCTTGGAATATGTCAGATGGATACCGAAAACTATAATATAACTCGTCAAGGTTGTGTAGTTGGATCATCTATCAACAATGAATCAGCTCAACAAGAATGGGATCGGTTGTGTTCTGATTATCAACGGGGTAAGAATGATGCATCTGTAATGCGTTATCCAGGATCCAGACAAATGGGATTTTTCGATACAACTGGTTATTCAATTCCTCAAGAGAACAGTCTTTCATCTCAATGTTCCGTCCCACCTATGGCTGCTGGAACAATGATGTTGCCTTCTGGTCAAGTCATGATAATGGACCAGCAAGCTTGTCAACCACCTGCTTACCAAAGTGGTCCTCCTGTTGTAATGGTTCCACCAAATAATTCTAATATGTGTTCGTCGAATCCAGGTTATCCTCCATCAAATTCATTGAACTGTCTAACTGAGGAACCAGGTCGAACAATAGGACCGGTTGGTCAGGAACATATGTCTTCTGGAATAGTTCCATCCGCTGGACAAAAAAGATCTTATCATGCTACTTCAGGTGGTGAAAGCTGGTTGTCCCCGAATCCAAATCGTCTATCGATGTCACCTGTTCCGAATATTGAAAATTCAACGTTTGTCGGTCATATTCAACCCAATTCAATATCATCTGTTTGTCGAGCAAGCCAAATGTTAAGTGTTGTTCCCTCTCCTGTCGGTTCTGTCCCTCCTACTTGCATGCCAATCACTAATACTAACCAACAATCAGTTGGTCGTGGTTCTGGTTCAACTAAGCCTGGTACAAAAAAACGTAAAGCTGCTGGATCTGGTAGATCTAGTGTTGTTACAAATACTGGTTATAATTCATCACTACCAGCAGTAAATCAACAGCCATCACCCACTAATCAAAATTCTCATTGTCTTAAGCAGTCGACAACGACAACAACAACAACTAATTCAAGTGGTACAACTCCGAATAAATTATTGAATCCTGCCTACAGTAGTGATGATTTACAAACCAATCATTTCCCTCGCTCTATAGCTAATCATCCGCGTCCTACGCATCAAGTACCACCTCCTGGTCGTCCACCATTTCAACCTACCGATCCTTGTATGATGCATTATTCTGTGAGTAAAACTTTTCCCATAATTTTTGCTTTGTTGTCTTTTATAAAGTATGTGAATATATTAGTTAACCTTGATTAAATTAGGCTGACTATAAAGGCCACCCTAACGACTGCCGAGATAACCAATTATGTTGCTGCATACCCAGTAGAAATACGGAAACTTAATTGGTCATTTCACTAGTTGTTAGGGTGACTTCTAAAATCACTTGTAAACTTTAAGCAGCTGAATGATTTCTTATCAGTAAAAACGGTACATGAAGGATGTTTTTTTTTATATATCAGTGAATAAGTAAAGCTATCATCTCTTGTTTAGACCCCTTGGATATGAACTGACTAATGAGACTATAGTTACTGCTGATTAGTATCGGTACTTTCCAGCTATGAATTTTTACCAGGTAATATATTTCATGAATTTATGTTTCTGAGTTAATTACAATTCAGCATTCAATTTTTAAAAAAATAGTAAGTTCCTTTCTTTTCGTTCTATTCTTTACTCTCCTCTCTTCCTTTCCACTAAATACTTCGTCATCATATCAACTATACACACATAGTTCCTATGTGTGTATTTGTGTATGTATGTATGTATTCTATGAATGAATGAATCCAAGCGCGTGAATTATTATTCCAATGTCTATGGATGGAATTAGATTGTTTTTCTCAAGGTCGTTTTTATTAAGTGATATCGAATTTCGTTTATCGTAACAGGGAGGCTTGAAAACACCCTTCAATGTATGTATGCATGTATGCATGACTGTAACTGTTCATGTGCATGTATATACACACAACTGCCTTTGTACACTGTTTGTCACAATAGATACAAGAAGTAAGCAGTCTCTACATTTCACCTTTTCATTTTCTTTCTAATTGACCTGTTTGCATCCTATATTGGCCTGTTATCATAGTTACACTGCTATTTCTCTTAGCAGTGAATATTCACCTCACCACCTGCCAAAGTCGTTCATCCAACTCTTTCCCTAGCTATACACACACACACACGCACATGTGTTTAGAGTTTGATCTGTCTAGCTTACTCTAAGGGCTTAGAAATGTTTCTACTGTCTCTTCTAGAGAGGAAAACCTGTGTTCTTACTGTTGTGTATATATTTTTCATTCTCCTACCTTTCCTACTAGTCTGATCATCATCATCAACATCATCATCATTACTAACAGCAACTTCACTCCTCCTCTATGACCATGACCACCACCGCAATTATGCTTCAATTTATTCCTATCACCGATATTTATTCATTGCTCTTCGAATTTGTTTTGATTATTTTCATTGTGTACACCTTACCCAGTTTTCTTAAGTTTTTGAATTTCTCTGTTTTACTTCATTTACTCTGATTGTATGGGACTTCTCCTTATTTTATAATAGAGCTATGGCTAATTGGTTTTGGGGAGTTGATTTCAATCAATGGGTCTTGGGTTCTAGCCCCTCTCCATTTACTGAGTTTTGGGCAGTCAAGTAGTATCAGTAGCCAGCCCTCATATACAATGGGTGTGGCTCATTGCATAATGTACGGTCGTGTATAAGGTTGTTAAATGTTTTTCCATTTCATAGTATTACAGTGGCGTAAAGAATTACTAGACATCGTGAGGATCAATTGTATTTATTTTATAATGTAGTGGAATGAAATTTGACAGTCGATTCATTTGCGTAACTTCATCCTACAGAACATCATTGAAAAACTGAATAATTCAGTGGTAGACCTTTGACTGCATAGTTGTTGTTTCGAGTCATGAAGTTAACATAAATTTTCACAAGGGTTTAAAAAAGTCACTGACTGCTACTGAGGTGTATAAGTTCGCTTTGTCAACATATTTTTAAGAAGAAAATGTCTTGTTATATGTATTACAGTTTATATCTTGTGTTTATTTATACAAAGTAATATAGCATCCCAATCAATCGTAGCCAGAGAATGCACCTTACTCATTGTGAATAGAATGTTATTGAACACACTTTAATTTTTATCGGTGACACGGCTCACTGTCGGCTACAATAGGTCAAATGTATCCGTTCTATCATCTTCGAAAGTTTGAACATTTTCCATAACTTTATGTTATTTCTTTTCATACTCTTTTGGTTATTTTAGTTTTTGTAGACCTTCCGAACTCGATCGATCAAACGTCATCTACAGTAAGGAAGGTTCTAATTACGCGTAGCAGGAAATGCATGAAAACAGTGTACACAAGAGCTGATGCACTCCTAGCGGAGGAGGTCTCCGAAATCCTGGGTTTCTCTTCTTACCTCCTAAGCTGGGATGGCAGAAAGTGCCTTGTGTGGGTTATCCCGCTAAGGCTGCTCGTATTTGACATTTATCACTCTACAAATACCAACTTCCTTCCCACTGCGATTAATTGATGGCATCCAGATATTTCAGTCCTTGCTGCCTGCGTAGTTAGCAGACAATTGACCAGGTTCAGGAGTCAGCTGGTGACTGCTTCCAAAGACCCATTCCCCAGCCAGGATTGATAATGCAAACTTCATTGTTTTGTATATTCCATAACAACCGCTGGTGCAGTTACCAGGGTTACTTTATGATCTGTGTTTTTATGTCCACTTTTTCGTTCCATGCTACCATGGATGTGTGGCAATTTCATCGGATGCACTATGTGTAGAAAAAGAGAGATATCAAGGTAGACCGTGTATGACACGAAAGGGAATTTAAAAATGAAGGTTAGTCAAAACATTCAAGCTTTATAAGACGTCATGGAGTGAATTTATCAGCCATGTCACCAACAGTCCTCAACTACTCATTCCTATCGTCTCGGGTAACCCCAGTCAGGTAGTCTACATCTCTCGACACAGCTCACATCAACAGTCAGTCTGACCACCCTGAACTCTCTCCCAACCTAATCCAACTTCCCCTAGCATGGCACGTCAAGGTAGGCGGTGGCTCAGCATGCGCAGTATGTATCCAAACCATCTCAGTCGAGTGGGGTTGAAAACCGCATCAACCGACTTACCTGTCTTGCCTAGTACCCTTCGTCTGACCTCAACATTGCTCACAAGATTCTACCAAACATCAGAAATGTCACGAAGATACTTATGTTCTGAGAAGTGTCACGGCTTCTTTTTTTCTAGTTTCAACGGCCATGTCTCATAGCTGTATAACAGGACAGAACAAAGTGCACCACAGTATTCTCGTCTTTTGATAGATAGTTGGATATCTCACCGCCTGGGGACAGGGATGATGCAAGTCGGAAAACGAACTGTGGTTTTGTCAGCAACCATCCTTTTCGGGCTGATGCAGCTCCCTAAGTTAGTGAAGTGGTGGGCACATTCCACCACTTCACTCCCTATCATTAAACTGGTAATGATTGCAAACCAGCCTTACATTTGACAGGTGCCAGCGAAACGCATCCCAAAGATACTCAGATTTCTGCTCAACATGTTCAGAAGACCCTACATTTTGTCGACGTCTCCACTTAGCAGGACAATGTCGTCTGCATACTGCAAGTCAACCAGATCCCCTTCAGGGAGTAGTTGGACCCCTGTAAAGCCAGATTTACTTAAGGTTATATCCATTTCAAAAGAAAACAAATCTTTTCTATACTTCCAGAGAAATGAACCTGACAAAATTATTTCCAAATTCTTAGGATCCATAGTAATTTGATTACAAACAGCAAAACTGAGAAATTCAAGCAAATCCTACGCTTTGATGAAGATACATTTATCCTATGTAGTCTGCTGAAACTTCCTTAAAACTTTATGTATGCTACTTGATTCTAGAGTGCCACTGGATTCTGTATATCGAAAACCTTCGAGCTGAACACGTTTGTTGATTTTCTGAAGGCTGTTTACTCAAACCTTCGGAGTTGTATAACAGCTCAGTGTAGAATTGTTGAAAATGATTAAGGCTCATTTTGGATGCTTAGTACTACTATTTTTATTCAACTTTGTTGTCGTAAATTCCGCTTTATTTGCTTTGGCTTCGGTAACCGTGTAGTATGATAATCCCTCACAAAGTAAATTTGGCTTATAACGTATTACGTAAGACTTATACCAAGCGTTTGAGTTGCATTACTTATTGTTATTGAGTGCTTACTTGAGTAGGATTGTAGGGATATGTGTTGTGTATATCAAGTTCTACGGTACAGGGATGCTATGCTAGTTGGAGTAGGAAGTCAGTTGTGAAATGACTATGCCTGATGAGATCAAGGTACATTGCCAATCTACAAGGTTAGTGTCCATTCATGCAACTTTGTAAGCGACTGTAATCACTTGGGGTTCATAGAATGTTAAAAACTAGTAGTAACAATTTCGAAGTAGCACGACTCTAACAGTTTACACTTTGCTAAACTTATTTATTATTTTTCCTTTCCTTAAACTTTGAATATGCATTACTACTTCATATCCGTTTTGTTCATTTCATTCAAACCAAAGCTATCTCAGATAGTCAGCGTAATTATCAATATAATGCTGCCCCTCTGTAATTCAGATTTGGATTGGGATGAGAAGTCCTGACTAGGCAGCCAGTGTGAATACGGTCAAGTAGTGCTAATACGTCATGAATTCACATGATAGTCGGTGATTGAAGTGAAATGAAAATCTGGTCAGCAATCAGGCCTGGTAGCTCAGTTGCTAGAGCATCGGGTCGGAAACCTGGTAGTCGCTGGTTGGAGTCTCGCTGCGGTCCAAATTTTCACTTCACCTTCAGTCATCACCCAGTATAAATACTAGTCTGCCAAACGATGGCTATCCCATTCAGATAGTTAAAATGATACCATTCCTATTGTTCTTTGTAATTCTTCTGCTGCTATTCTATCTGTGATTTTGTAAAGTTTGACAGTTTTAACCGATACACTTTTTTTTCAGTTGTTATAGGTTTTTTTATTATCTATTTTCAAAGTCGTATTCATCATGAACTGATATCATTTGGAGAGCCATTGAAAACCCTGAGAGCTCTGGATAAGTTTTTCAGCCTAGTAATGGGACTCTTCAAATTTTCAATAGTTCTCGAGCTAATATCAGTTCTAGATGAATACAATCTTGAAATC